TTGTCATCAACTTTAAAATGGGAATGTCCTCGATTATTTACATCTAGAAACTTGGAAAAAAAGAAAAAGACTTTTGTGGTTCTCGAGACGACATTCTTCTGGCTTCCACAGACACAACAACCGAGACTCTGTTTCCCTTCATATGAGGAAATTACCCCAAGGGTTCACCTCGACTGTTTCAAACTTCGGATATACTTTTTTTTGTACTACATACGAGAAAATTTAAAGACATTTTCTGATCTTTTGCAGAGAAAGAGATTTATTTTCGAACACTCCCGAATTCCCGTTTAAATTTCAAAAAAAACTATAAACTTGTTACATAATTATGGAATATTAAACGAAACGTGGTTTTAAGAAAATTCACACACTCCCGCAAAAAAGGTTTAATTTAAATAATTTAACAATCGCGGTTTGTAAGAATTCAAACACTCCCTATAAACTGAAATTTTTTTTTAAATTAGGTATATATAATTAAAATTATTCGCGCACACGAAAAAAAAGTAGAATTTTTACCCCAAAATCGGTATAAAAATTACCTGCAACAAATTTTATCCTAGTTGAGGGCGCCACCGTCTATGTGAATTAGCATTGGTTAAAATTACCCGCAACAAAATTTACCCAGCGTTTTTTCTGTGCGATCAATATTTTTAAAAAAATCGTTCCTCTGTAATTTCTTTACTACTTTAAAATTGACAAAATCAATAAAAAGTATTATTTAAATGCCAAGAAAATTATTAAGGACATTCTATGTATATGCGTATTGTCGATATCAACACTAAACACATTTAACCAGGTCGATCCCGGAATAGTAACTGGTTTGAATTTGAGAATAAAATATCCAGAAATTTCAAATTCTAACGAATTTCTGGACTACCTATATTTGCCACTTGTTTTCTCAGTACATATAAATGCTCAAAAAATGACGATACATATTTACAAATCAATATACAGAATTTTTACATATAATATTATGCATTTTTGTAATATTTATTAAAATCTATTAATTTTAAATATTTTTATTATTAAACGGTAAATATATAATCAATTTCTATCTTTGATTTTTTAATTGCGCAACAAAATAATAAATATTAGAAAAAGGGGACTTCTTTTTTTAAACTACATAATTTCTTACATGAAAGATAAAAAAAATATTTTTCACACTCAATTTTATTGAATGTAAATTCATGAAAGGATTTCATTTGTCTAATCTGGTTTTCTCTGTCTAAGGAAAATGGTTTTCATTACAGTTTTTACTTTCTTCACGCATAAATCTCTTGTGGAGCATCGTATTTCTTGCACTATTCACCATCTCATTACGCAGAGAGAAGGGGGGTTTTATACAATCGCGCTCTTCGTAAAATCGTGCAAATTGCGATTAGCTTTGTCTACTGAAAAGTAACGCGACAGAAAAAAATAAGAGAAGAAAAATGAATGAGAAACGAAATAAGAAAAAAAATCTTAATTCACCCCCCACCCCTCAAAAGAAGAAAAAATTTAAAAATATCTCCCTCCAACCAATATTTCCTGAATAATATTGAAACGTTTAATTATCCTCATAACTCTATCCAAAAAAATACTTATATATGCAAAAATGTGAATGTTGCTAATGAAAGCGTAAAATTGGATTTTCAAGATTAACTTATAACATATGAAATTGAATTTCATATAAAGTAATATGAGAGAAAATGTATCCCTCATGTTGAATTATCTGCAACAATTATTAATTACTTTCTGTTATGTTTTATCTTTACTGATTTCTGTATTATCAGCACGATTTTCAAAAAACTAAGATGGGATATGTCCTTTCTTCTCTTCTAGTAGTTTTCAGAAGAAATTACATAAACTTTCGCTCGTCTGATTTCAAAATTGATAACAATATTTCTCTCGATTCCGCACAAGACTTTTCTTGGAATAAATACACGAAATACTAGTCGCGTTCTTCTTTTTACTTATATACTATATAGGTATGTAAATACATGAAGGTAAAAGAAATTTGAAGTTTCTTATTCTCTTTACATTTTTATTCGACTAGTCCAACTAGCACGTAATATTACTGGAATATTACAGTGATATTAAAATGTCCGCCTGATGGTGATATTACCGAGTAATATTACTGTAATATTACAGATTGATTTGAGTTACTCATAAAGCATCACAATCATAAATATATTGTAAGTCAGTGTGGCTTAGTTGGTAAAACTCTGGACTTGTGTGCCTTAAGTTCGGGGTTCGATTCCCCGGTTGGGTACATTTTTTTCATAAAATAATATTCTTCTAATGTTACTGCTATATTCTCCCCTACTGAAAATCCCTGTACAAGATCTTGTACAATATCCTGTACAGGATCAGCAACTGAACTTGTACGAGTTCTGACCAGTTCCTGTACAGGAAAATGCATACGAATTTGGAACAAGTTCATGTGTGAGATCTTGTACAAGAAAATGTACATGATCTTGTACAATTTCATGTATACTTGTACATGAACACGTCCATGTTCTTGCACATGTTAATTCATGCTTTTCTATACTAAAAATTAAAAACTTCAAAGGCTGCGCAATAGTTTACTTTAACCTTTACAGCTGCGCAATAGTTTTTAGCATGCATGAGTTACGAATCTTAGTGGTCAAAAATTATCAAAATCTCAAATTTTATTAAAAAAAAAATTTTTTTACAACTATACATGTGCAAGAACATGAACGTGTTCATGCACAGGTACTTATACCTGAAATTGTACAAGATCATGTACATTTTCTTGTACAAGTATCTTCCTTGTACAAGATCTTGCACCAGATCTTGTACAAGATCTCACACATGAACTTGTTCCAAATTCGTATGCATTTTCCTGTACAGGAACTGGTCAGAACTTGTACAAGTTTAGTTGCTGATCCTGTACAGGAAATTGTACAAGATCTTATACAGGGATTTTCAGTAGGGTCGTGTATTATTACCTTAATATTACGGTATAATTCCACTGTAATATTACAGTAATAATGCCTGAATATTACCGTGTAATATTACAGTAACATTATCCGGTAATATTACCATGAGGCGGACATTTTAATATCACTGTAATATTACAGTAATAATACCGGTTAATATTGCTGTAATATTACTGTAATATATTTGTATATTACTGTAATTGTTATATGTATAGTTTGTTATATATCTGGAAATGTCTTCAAAATGCCCACTCCAAAAAGTTATTTAATATCCAATTTATACATAATGTGTACATTATGTGAGTGAAATATATATGAATGTAAAAACGATTTTTAAAATCCTTAAATCCTTAATTAGAATATTCTGAAGACGTAAAAATATGCTCTAAATAATTTCACTATTCAATATTAAAAAAATTCCTAATAATGTTGTTATTATTATTGGGCTTATCTGCATGAGTGTATTCTTGATTAAATTTCGAACAATTTGAGCGGTCTTAAGCCTCTCTATAAGTGAAAAATTCGCCAAATTATAGAGATTCAAAGTTAGAAGTGCCAAAAACCTATAATTTAGAGAAAACCGAGTTTTAAGATCAAATCTACCATATTAGTTCCCATGTTAATTAAAAATTAAAAATATAAATATTAGTTGTTTAATTACAACGAAGTCATCGTGAACGCATAATTTAACGTGTGCATGGAACACTTTGTAGTTTGATTTTCAACAATAAAAAAAAAATTAAAAATCTGAACCACTTTTAGAACATTGCGATTATTTTCTAAAATAAAATCGATAAAATAATCCCTTTTCATGCGGACGTACACATTTATTGATTTTAATATTTATGTTTTAAGGTAGTATTACACTTTTCAAGCAGTAAAAAACGGGTTTAGAAAAAAATTTTTTTCTCGCTTCTTAATTTATTTAAAGGAACAAATTTTTTTTTATAACATTATATGGCATTAAAACTTTTATAATAAATAAAATAAAATTTTTTTATTATCTCTCTTTGGTCACTAGAGGGCCTTAATCGAGTTTTTCTCGAAACGTTGTTTTTGAAACTGGCGGACAGCATAACTCGAGTTCTAATGAACCAATTTTTTTGAAAAAAATATCATTTTTTTCGTAATTAAATTCTTTAAGCATCCCCCCTAAATCCAATTATCTATTTCTTTTTGGATTTTAGCTACAATCCAAAAACTAACCAAAAAAGACCTAATTTTTGACATTTTTTTTTTAAATCGCTGCCATTTCGTTAATTTTCAATATTTTTTATCGGGGTTAGGGGGGATGCTTAATGACATGTCTCAGCTTCAAAACGGTTTTTTGTTTTTTCAGATCCGATGTCCCTGAGAGGCTGTAGCCTGTCCGCCGATTGCCCAAATTTTTTTTTGCCTTGACTTTAAGGCCCTCTAGTGACCAAAGAGAGATAATAAAAAAATTTTATTTTATTTATTATAAAAGTTTTAATGCCATATAATGTTATAAAAAAAATTTGTTCCTTTAAATAAATTAAGAAGCGAGAAAAAAATTTTTTTCTAAACCCGTTTTTTACTGCTTGAAAAGTGTAATACTACCTTAAGTTTCTAGATTTTTTTTAATAAGACAAACAGCATTTAAGACAAACATGGAAAAGAGAAAAGAAAATAAAGACGCCATCTATCAGGAAAATAGCGCGACTATCGACATAAGCGAAAAGGTTGATAATGTCGATTTCCAATTCACAACATATTATGAATAATTGAAAATAAAATAATTGTTTATTACACTAATTAGGCACTAATTAGGTAAATAATATTAAAATGTTATACTTCAAACTTGGACTGCTTAAAAAAAAGCAAGATTTGTTAATCAATAAAAATATTAGATAAACAAATAATAATAATGTAATAATAATAATATCTTATTAAATATCTGTCCTCAATAATAAAAAAAATTTAATCTAAAATAAAGTCAAGTTCAAATTATTATTAAAATTTTATCACGCGCATTAAGCTGTCAATGGTATAGAATTATCAATCAAACTGATAATAAAAAAGAGAATCATTGTCCATGCTTAGCGCGTAATGAGAACACATCTTTGTATTCTTCTATTTAAATGGAAATTTCTCAACCATTAAAATTCTTTTCATCTATAGTTATTATAAAGTTTAGCTTTAATTATAAAACGAATTCGATAAAACCAGCGAATGGTATAATTAACATAAAATAATAACATATAATTAAATGTCAATAAAAAAGTGTCAGTGAAATTATATATTTTTTAAAGTAATAATAATTTTTATAATTATAATCAAACAAATATGGTTCTTAACAAAAAAGTACGTGTTTTACAATATGCTTCAGCAATTTCTGGTAAGTGATATATGAAATTATTAATTCAAAAAGAAATATTATTTTAAGACTATTATTGTTATTAAAATTATTATATTGTTTATAATATATAAAATTTTATTTTATTACAATATTTTTGTATATATAAAAAAATTATTAAATTAATAATACAATTCAATAAAATTTATTTATTTATCAGAATATTCTAATATTTAATAAGATTTTTACACATAATTATTGATGAAATGACCTTATGTCCCATTTAACTCAACTTGAATCATTCTCTAAAAATCGTTTTATCACATTTAGTATAACTAGTAACTAATCTTTTTAGTCATTATCTTTACATTTCATAACAAAATATAATACATTCTTTGAAAAAAAATTACATTCTATTAAGAACTGAAAAAAAACTTTTATAAATAAAATAAATTATTTGAATGAGCTCAAAATATTATAATACCTATATTTTTATATGCACTCAGAAAAAAATTTCTTCGTTTCAAAGAACGTTTCTTTGAATCAAAGAAATTTGTGCACTGTTATAAAAACAAAGGATCGAAAATGTCGTTTTAGCCTGATATCTTTTTGACATGATTAATTTGAATTATTGTTATAAACGAATAAAATTATTCTAAACCTTAAATTACTTATTAAATAAAAATTTTGTCTCATACACAGCATCAATGACATCACTCGGACTTGCTTCGGCAGTGGCATGGTCATCACCAGCACTTCCACATTTCGCCAGCCAATCAAATTTCTCCAAATCAGAAATATATTGGATAGTCCCATTACTGAGCGTGGGATGCGCATTGGGTTTTTTACTGAATCCACTGATAATTAATCATTTCGGAAGAAAAAAATCACTATTACTCTACAGTGTCCCACAACTTTTATCCTGGTTATTACTAATTTTTTCAATAAATAACATAATCATCATTTATCTTGGAAGAATTTTAGCGGGAATAGGTTACGGTGCCGGCGTATGCGCACTAACCGTCTACTTGTCTGAAATAGGCAATCGTGAAAATCGTGGTATTTTTATGGTTCTTTTCAAATTTACCATGTCAATTGGTAGTTTTCTCACAGTTTTAATCGGTGCATACTGCTCACACAATACCATGAATGTATTCCTTCTAATGATGCCCGTTACATTTCTCGTCACATTTATATTTATGCCAGATTCCACATATTTTTTAGCACAAAATCAAGAATCAGAATTGATGAGCAATTTGAAAATGGGATTTCTTAGCAATGAAAATAATGAGAAAACGGATTTTTTCAAATTACAAAAAATGGAAAAAATGATGATAAAAAAACCTAACCTCAAAATAAACGTGACAAAAGACGACGAGCATAAAGAATTGCAGGAAGTGGAAAAAATGATAAAACCTGACCTTAGAATAGAGGAGACAAAAATTAACGAATTAGAAAAATTTGAAAATGAAGACAATTCATTAAAGAAATTGTTTACAATTCCAAGTAATCGTAGAGCTTTATTGATAACAATTTCTTGTGCAGCACAAAATGTCTTCTCTGGTTATGGAATTACAAAGTATTTCGCGCAAAATATTTTAACATACGAGAATTCTTTATTACCGGCAAAAAATGCCGTTTTTCTATTGGCCGCCATTAGTATTTTAAGTTCCGCGTCAAGTACATTTTCAATTGAAAAATTCAAAAGACGAAGTCTTCTCCTGTCTCTCGGATGTTTAGCGTCACTTTCCATTGGAATAGTTGGCTTATTTTTTTATTTAAAAGCTAATTACAATATCAAATATTTCGATTGGTTACCACTTGTTGGACTGGCGATTTTCGACTTTTCACTAACAAATGGGAATTACAATATTTATTTAATTTATCAAGGAGAACTATTTCCAAGTGACGTGAAAAATGTCGGAATAACGCTGACCAAAGTGATTCTCATGTTTTTCACTTTTACTGCGTCAATTGTGTATCAATTGTTAAATGATATTTTCCATATTTCTGTGATATTTGGAATTTTTGCGACTTTCTGCTTTTTTCAGACATTGGTTATTTATAAAATTGCGCCCGAAACCAAGGGAAAAAGTCTTGATGAGATTCAGCAATTGTTGACATTAAAACTGAGAAATTGAAATTATCTTTTGTAACGCAAATTTCTATAAGAAACTAAATATTTAAATTAAAATTTAAAATTTTTTTTAGAACTTTACAAGGCGTTAACCGCGCCCTTCTATAAACTCCGCTTCCTCTAAAACAAATAGATTATTTTTATAATCATTATAATTATTTTATTTAAAAACAGAATTTTGTAAAAAATTTTATTAAAAACAGTAGTACATAATTATATGTATAATATTTTTAATTTTATAGTTCTGAAATGAAGTAGGAACAAAAATAAAAATAACGACAACAGGAATTTTAAAAAAGTTATATATAGAAAAGAATTGTAAAAGAAAAACAGGATAATTATTATAAAAATGTATAAGTATTGTTTAGAAAAAGATAATTAAGTAATAATTATTAATTATTTGTAATTAAACTAATATTGTCGGTGCGTTTGACGTGCGTGAGTGGAAATTTGATGCTGACTTTCAAGCAAGATATTTTGAGTTAGAAAAAGTTAGAGACTTGAAACTTTGATGGTTGGAAAAGCTGATAAAATTCTGCGTCTAAATGCGTACAATAAAAATTTTTTTTACTTTTTGGAGCCGTTATAAGACCAGAAAGGTTTCAAGAAAATAAAAACATAATTAAACGAAATTTTTACAAGAAAATGTTAACTTTTTACAAAACTGTTAATTATGATATTATTTTATAATTAATTTTAATTCACCGAATTTCAAAAAACTACTTAGAATTTCTTACATTTTCATGTCTATTTACATTTCACAACTTGGACATACCCTTAAGTTTTGATTTTCAAAAATTCAAAATATCATAATTTAACCTTAGCTGTGCAGCGATTGGGTCGTTTGTTTTATGTTTGTATTTATAATTTACGGTTCTTCTTCACTGTGACTCATTAATGTAACAGCGTAGAACGCAAAGAATTTTAATTTTAAAAATTATTTAACATTTATTCCTAAGAATTAATTATTATTACCATTATTTATACTATTTATTATTCTACAAATGTGAACAGTGTATTAATTTAAACGAACTAATATTTACAAAATATATAGACAAAAACAAAAAAATTGAAATTTGATAATGTGTACAGTTGCTTTTACGAGTAAGTAAATAAATTTTTTGAATAAAATTTATACTAAATAAAGTAACGAAAATCATAGAAAAAATTATAAATTTTTTAAGAATAATAAACAAATCAATTGCATGTTTTTATTTATATGCCTTTTAATACCTATTTTAACTTGAAAGTTATATTTTCAAATTCTCCAACATAATATTGCAATAAAAAAGTTTCTATAAAATACAAATTTTTATTCCATTTGAATTGAAAATTTGTTAATTTTTTCAATTCTTTAAACTTTATTTTACGCTGGACAAATTATGAAAATTGTATTATTTCATTCAAATTGAAAGTATAAAAATGATATTTGTATATATTAAATGAAAAAAATTGTATGTAAAGATATATACAGAAATTATTTTTAATTTACAGAAATTATTTTTAATTCATCGAAATTTAACGAACAAAAAAATGATACAACAAAAAACGGAAAAATACAGGCGAGTGGTAGTTTTGCAATATGCAGCTGGCATTACATGTAAGTAAAAGAGAAAAATATTTTTAAAAAATTGTCAATAGATGTACGCAGGTGGGAGTAATGAGTTTGTTAAAAATAAGAGAAATTCTGTTTGTAAAGATTAAAAATAATTAACAATTTATTCATGTTACCTATTCGCAGCCACACTCGTCGCATTGGGATACAATGCAGCGTCAAGTTGGATGTCACCAGCGTTACCATATCTGACCAGTAAACAAGCGAACTCACCACTATTGACAACCGACTTTGATTCCATTGCCACAGCATCGGTAATCGGCAGTTTTTTCGGCTTCCTTGTCAATCCACTTCTCGTCAAGTATTTCGGAACCAAATGGACACTATTGATATTTGCAATTCCACAAATAATATCAGGGATTATGCTCGTGCTTAATGAAGAATTTACAACAATATGGATATCAAGATTAATAAGCGGTTTTTCATATTGTGGTGCGCTGTCATCATTGGCCGAATATTTGACAGCCATCAGTAATTCTAGCAACAGAAGCAAATTATTTGTCTTAATGAATCTCTCCTCAAATCTTGGCAATCTTTTGCCACTAACTCTAAATCTTTTTTTAACATATTTTCAAATGAACCTCAGTCTAATGATGATACCGATAGTTTTCCTTGCCATCTTTATGTTCATGCCAAAATCATCCTATTTTGACGAGATGAACAAATGGAAAGAGAAGGAAATTAAAATCAATTCGATAATTACTTCTCCATATGGATTTGATACACACAGAACTACCGAAAATGATTTTTTAACTAATGACGATATTTCAATAATCAAAAATAAAATTACTACAGATAATAAATTATCACCAAAGAACGTTGTCATTAGTAATGATTACCAAAATTTTACGACTAAAATCAACATTTCCGAGAGTCATCTTACTATACCAACATTTGATAAAGATAATGATTGGAAAAATTCGGACGAAACTTACGATTGGGACATCTTCCAGAAGGTGAAGGAGAGTTCGTTTTTGAAATTGTTTATGCAACCAAACAATAGAAAAGCATTGATCATAATGATGTTTGTCTGCTGCACAGATATTTTAGCGGGTCATATACCAATTGTATCCTATACCGAGCAACTTTTAACTCATCCTGGATCAATTATGGATGGTGATCAGGCTTCATTTCTGATGACAATCATCAAGGTGATTTCAGTCTTACTCAGCACACAATATATTACGAAAATTGGTAATAAGAAACTTCTTCTCATCAGTGGCATTATTGGATCATGTTCCATGATACTCGTTGGCTTTTTCTTCTTTCTTCAAACTAATAAATACGATATAGCGGAAATTCGATGGTTTCCATTGGTTTTTATCACAATTTCGGAAATTGCAAATGTCATCGGTGTTGGAAATACATTTTTCGCATTACAAGGCGAACTATTTTCCAATGATGTTAAGACATTAGCTATTAGTGTCACTAATATCATGTACATGATTATAGAACTTATTGCACTCATGAAATTTCAAGTATTATTAGAGTATTTTGGTTTACATGTGATCTTCTGGTTTTTTGCCTTTGTCTTCTTGTTATTTCCACTTGCTATATTTATTTTTGGGCCGGAAACTCAGGGTAAAACATTGGAAGAGATTCAAATGGAAATGAAAAAATGAGTGAGTTTTTTTTCTCTTTATTCATAATAATCATTATGAGATCTTGACCCTTGGTTTTATTAATGTGAACCACAATCAATGTCGGTGAAGCATTTGATATGTAAAATCGGTTGCTTTTCTTTTTTCGGAGGACCACTTGCAGAAAAATCACTTAGAAAATATATTACCGATAAATACTTCTTTTCCGGCAGTGGAATATGAAATATTACGATTTTTATGGGATGACGATTCATGTTTTGCAATTTGTCGGAAAATAAAACAAAAACGTATCTCGTAAATTCGACAATGTTTCGGAATGGAAAAAACCATCAATTTCAAATTGGTTTTTGTAGATTGAAATTTAAAAATACAAGTAAAATTTTTTGTACTGAATTATTTTATTGTCTTTTTGGCAACAAATTAAAAAACAATTTAATTGTAATTATTACTCGTCTTTCGATGTCTTTTTTTCTTAGTATCTAAGCAAATTGAATTTTTAAATTATATTTTCTCCTTTTTAGAAACTATTTTCTTCCATACAATGCAATTGAAATATGTATATGTAATCAGAAAAAAGTAGTATATGGGTATATACCACTACTAACTTTTTCTCTTACAGATTTTTAAATATATGAATAAGACTTCTGAAGGTAATAATAAAATTGATACGAATGGCAAATAAAAGATTTTCTGATAAGAGATGAAAGATTAATTGCAATATTCTAGTATTATTCAGTAGTATTCGGAATTAAGTTTTATTAATTTCAAAATTAAATTTTAAATTGTGAAAATTCTCTCATTAGTTGTTTGTAATAAATAAAATTTGAAAGTTGTGAAAATAAACCTTTATTGTCCAAATAAAATTTAAAGGTGCAGAAAAAAATTCTAGTAAATAAAGTTATCAAATGTTAAGTAATAAGACTTTCAATTACAATAATCAAATTCAAATGCAAAAACTTATGATTAAAAATAATTCAAATTTATAAAGAAAACTAATAAATTAATTTTTTGTTATATTCTTAAGAGACGAAATTTCATTAAAAAAATAATGTCAAAGAATAAAATGAATCACGCTTTATTGCAATACACAGCTGCCTTTACAGGTAAGACAAAAGTAAAATAAATATAAAACAATTAATATGTTTAATAATGTTTAGAAAGTTTAAAATATTATAAAAATACAAAAAATAACTTTCTGGTCCAGCTATGCATAATTTTTTTATTTAAATAGATTTATTTTATTTCATTATAACATCTAAAGTTGTGCTATTATAATTTTTATTTTAAAAAAAAATTTCAAACTTGAAATAAAAATATGTAAAATTTGACTAAATCCAATGAAATTTTCATTTAAATTCACAGCCTCCATCACGGCCATTGGATTTGTTTGCGGCTATTCATGGCCATCTCCAGCGTTGCCATATTTAACAGGCGAAAAATCTGAAATTCAAATTACAAAGGATCAAAGTGCTTGGATTGCTGCTTTTTATCCATTGGGCTTAATAATTGGCTATTTATTAAATCCATTGTTTGTCGATCGAATTGGACGAAAACGAACATTACTCATGTTCTCATTGCCACAAGTGATCTCATGGTTTCTAATAATTATAGCGAAAAATTCTTTAAATCTCTACGTGGCAAGAATTATTGGCGGAATTGGTTATGGAGGCGGTATTTCCTCTTCGACTGTATACATTTCCGAAATTGGCAATGTCAAAAATCGTGGCATTTTTCTCGTTCTACTGAAATGTATGATGAATTTTGGATTTTTGTTTACAATGATTTTAGGCGCATTTTTAAACTATAAAAACATGAATATTGTTCTTTTAATGATGCCCGTGTTTTTTGTTCTTGTATTTATTTTTGTGCCCGATTCATCGTATTTTCAAAACGTCAGTCAAAGAACAGACCAGGCGACTATGAATGAAAAAATTGATTTTGGGGATAATGATGACGATGAGGCAATGGTTAATTTGAATCTTTTGAACAAACGGAAGGAGAATTTTGAAAAAAATGATAAAATTAGCAACAAAATCAAAACTGATGATCATGAAGACAAAATTGATGGTTTTGGAGTCAATAATAATGTCAGTGAAATCAAAGTTACAGCCACTAAGACCATTGATGAAGAAACATGTAGTAACAAAAGAAAAATTGATGATTCTTCAAGCATCAGCGACGAAATGACCGACAATTCTGTAACCGAAAAAAATGGAAAAACCGCCAACAACATAAAAATGATTGATGATCATATGGAGAGAAAAATTTGGAAAAAATTGAGTATAAGGGAAAATATTTTTTGGAAATTATACACTACACAAAATTATCGTCGAGCGTTAGAAATATTATTGGTGATGGGTCTGACAAATATTCTATCGGGTCACGCGGGAATTACAACATTTACTCAACAAATTTTCACATACGATGGGGCATTTTTGGCACCGGAAAAAGCCTCAGTGATATTGGCACTAATTACACTAATCACCTCTCTACTAAGTGCACTAATTGTCGAGAGAGTAAGGCGAAAAATTCTCATCGCGTGGACAGGTGTAATTTTCCCTTGTGTTTGTGGGTACTTTCTTCCTTTGTCAAGAATCAAAAATTAATGTCGACTATTTTCAATGGGTACCACTTGCTGGTATTACGATATATGACGTAATGCTTTCATGTGGAATGGGAAATGTCTTTTATGTTTATCAAGGTGAACTTTTTGCCAACGAAGTGAAAAGTCAATCTATAGCATTCAATAAAATTAGTTATATGACATTGAGTTTTTTGTTTTTGTTACAATTTCAAAATTTTATCGATACAGTGGGCACGTACTTGGCATTTTTTTGTTTTGCATTTGGCATTCTTTTTGGTAGCATTTGCGTTTATATTCTCACACCCGAGACAAGGGGAGTGAATCTTTATGATATTCAAGTGATAATGAAGTCGAAGAAATTCTTTTTCTAATATTTCAGAAAGAAAACATTTTTTTCTTCAATTATTTGTCTATATTGAGGTGAAGTAAAGTTTTTAAAATTTTTCAATTTTTCCAAAGTATCCACTATAAAAAGTTTTCATCATTTTTAATTTGCAATTTCAAATATAAAACTATATGTTTTAGTAAACGGAAAAATTAAATTATACTTTTAAAAAAAATTTCAACTACTGTAAATAGTGTTAAACAAACAAAAAATAAATCCCATATTAGGTATTATAAATAATAAATGTACCCAAGTAAAGAGTAAAATAGAAATTGTAATAAATGTAGTTAATTTTTTGCTGACACTGTCATGAGCCGTAACAACTTTGGAAGAAAACTATATATGGATGTCATCTATTTACGAAGAATAAATTAAATTTTGAGTGGTACAAATATGTGCATTATTGATAAATAGTTCACTGCTGTAGAATAGAGGAAAAAATAGAAATATTTTTCTTTAACTTGATGATAGTATCGTTTGTGATAGATAAAATGAAACTGGATAAGAAAAAATAATCAGTCGAATGCATACAGCTATAAAGGAAAGAACCTTTTTTCAAATTTTTGTCCACGGTGTTTTCATCAACAATTTTTTAAATAGTGAAAAGGTTAATAATAGATCAAGAGATTATTAATTAAAAATATATTTACAACAACTTTTTAATTTTTATAATAAACATTTTTTAAAATTTTAAACTAACTAAATTAAAATTTTTTTTTAAAGTAAAAAAACATGTTGATTAAATTCAGAAAATAAAAATACACCTAACTAAAAATCAATTCTTATAAATATCCAATTGTTTTCAGAAGAAACTAAATAAGTAGTGAGATGAAAAAATAATTAATTTATTTGATGTTTATAAAAATAATATTTGTTTCAAGAATGAAATAAGCATGTTATAAAATATTTTTTTAAAAATTCAATAAAAAATTAAATTCAAAAATGACTGAAAATCCCAAAGCAATTTTGTTGTTGCAGTATGCAGCAGCTATTACAGGTATGTTTTGAAAAAAAATATTTCAACTCAAAAAAGAAAAATATTACGTAATTTAAAAATAGAAACAAAACTGACATCATTATCTTTTTCTCAACTAAAATATTATTATAATTATAATGAAGTTCTCAATTAAATTTTTATGTACTTTATGAGTTTTTAAGTACATTGATTGCGAAGATAATTTTCCTCTATACTATATTGACAATATTTCACTTTATTATATGTAACAGTTATTGTACTACATACTTTAATTTTTTCTCGTTTCTTCAAATTCTCAAATTCAAATATTTCTCTTTTGAGGTTTTTTATATTTTAATGTTTTGTTGTTTCACTGTTAGCTGCTTTAAGCCAGTACCTAATAGAACTAGAAAAATACAAATAACGTTTTTAATCTTCCATTAAATTATTTTACAATTTTTGTTTTTCTACTTCATTCTTTAACCTATGTGACTTTATTCTAAATATTTTAAGTTGAAATATTAATTGATGTCACAAATAAATACATTCTTTGAAATATTATTTTTATCAATTTTTGTTTTTAACTTCCGTCTCTTAATATAATGATATCAGTTTTCATCTTAATTTTGATATCTGATAAAATACACTTTTAGTCATGAAACTTAATTAATATTATTCTTATTTCTGTCAATTGTGGCGATTGTAATTTATTTTTAATTTTACGCTTTAAATTTAAATGTAAACAAACTCATTTCATTGGTTCTTTTTGAAGATAATAAAACGACAATAATTTAAAAACAGCCAATGGAATTGGCTATTCTGATATTTAAAAAAGTGAAACTAATCTTTCATGCAAATTTTCAGGATGCCTTACAGTCACTGGATATGGGACAATAATTTCCTGGACATCTCCAGCACTACCATTTTTGGAAAGTTCAGCATCAGACATTAAAATAACACTAAACCAAAGCTCATGGATAGCGTCTCTTTATTTAATTGGATTTATCATAGGATTTCTTTTGAATCCACTTTTCATCGATCGAATTAGTCGAAAATGGACATTAATGCTATTTGCCATACCGCAAATAATTTCTTGGCTAATGATAATTTTTGCAAAAAGTCACATCACACTTTATTGTGCGCGACTGATTGGAGGCGCTGGTTATGGTGGTGGTCTCTGCGCGATGACAGTGTACATGACAGAAATTGGAAATAAGGAAAATCGAGGAATTTTCTTAATTATCATTCGTCTTTCAATGGGTCTTGGATTTTTGCTGACAATGTTTCTTGGAGCATATTTCACTTATCAACAAATGAATCTGGTTCTATTAATGCTACCCATTTTGTTTCTCATCATTTTCCTCTTTATGCCCGATTCGTCATATTTTCTGGAAATTAATCAAAGAATTGAGAAAGCAAAATTAAACTGCGTTCAAGAATTGGGGCTAGATGAAAAGTCAAAATTAAATTGCGTTATTGAAAAAGAGGAGACTTGTTCCAATTCTGAATTGTCAACATTCGAAAAGCAAGAACGAATCCACTCCCTTCGCGAAACAAATTTATGGAAATTATTTTCGAACTCGACAAATAGAAGAGCTTTGATAATTGTCGTGACAACGGGATTATTAAACATTCTGTCCGGACAAGCGGCCCTGGGAGCGTTCGGCCAACAAATATTGAGTTACAAAACCTCGCCAATGGATCCAAAGAAGACCATGATTTTATTATCGGCTCTAAATGCAATCGCTTGCCTCGTGAGTACACAAATAATCGAAAAAATAAATCGAAGAAATATTTTAATTTTCTCTGGACTAATTTCTTCACTTTCACTGGCAATCATTGGCGTGTATTTTTATTTCGAACACAGTGGTTTTAAATCGACGACCTATTTAGGATGGATTCCAATTATTTTCCTCTCGGTATTCGATGTATTACTTAGTACCGGACCTAGTAACATATTTTACATCTATCAGGGAGAATTGTTTACAAACGAAGTGAAAAGTGTAGCAGTGACTGTCGTCAAATTTGTTTATATTGTTTTTGGTTTTCTGACTGTGTATTATTTTCAAAAAGTGTCAAAGACTGCTGGTATGCATTGGATTTTTTGGATTTTTGGTACTTGTTGTGGTGTAGGAACAATTTTGGTTTATCTTATGGCTCCAGAATCGAGGGGAAAGCCACTCGAAGAAATTCAAGACAATTTAACAAGAAGATCATTGTTTTATCGAATTCACAATTGCTTTCAAACCAATAATAAACGGAGCATTTGAAAATAGATTTTTTTTTAAATAATAAAAGGATTTTTGAGTCTTCTATAATATTTTAAAATCTCATTACAGTTACCCACTGGGCAAAAAGTCATGTTCCTTCTAAAAACGTTTTAAGAACATTTTTAGAACGTTATCGATGGCTGGGTGTAAAAACATGATACATCGAAATTTTTCTTTTCAAATTTCTGTTGGTACCACTGACCGCGAAATTTAAAATGGTTTCTTATATATTACATTTTTTAAGAATATATGATGATATTAAAATAATAGAAGTAAAATTTTGCACTATACACATATAATTTTGAATATTTTACATGAAATTCGTTTTAAATCAACGGGATTACAATACTGTATTTAAATGATCGTCTGTATTATTAATTACTTTTACAGCTGTATGATAACGTCATGGGTGGCAAATCCACCAGGAAATGAATAATTGGAGGATTTACTAGAAAAAAATTTACCTAAGTTAATTTAATTTATTTAATAATTGTGTTTTAAAAAATATACTTTACTTACTCTCCATGATTGACTCTTTAAACAAATATTTAAACAACACCAATTGTAATAGAATATTTACAATATAAATATTTATAATAAAATAGAATTATTTATAAAATCACAGATTTTATCAATCTAAATATAAACTTTATATAAAAAGCTATTTAACCTAATTTTTCTTTGAACTGACATATTATGAAGCAAAATCATTTGTTTCATAAAACAGTTTCAAAGATTTGACACATTTTAATTTTCACGGTCAGTGCGGTACCAACAGAAATTTATAAAAAAAAAATTTCGTTTTCGACGTGTCATGTTCTTCAAATCAAACGACGATGTATCATGTTTTCCAACGCTAATCCGACGTATCATGTTTTTCAACGCCAATTCGATGTATCATGTTTTTACACCCAGCCATCGAAAGTTTCATGTCCGCCAAATAATGTTCTGAAATATTTTAAGAACATGCTGAAATAGCACGTAAACTTGCAGCAACCTTGCTGCAAGCTTCAAATGTCTCACCTGACCCAAACTTCCATGGTAAGCTTACCGAAAGATTGCCAACAGCTTGGGTCAGCGGGTGGGACATTTGAAGGTTACAGTAAGCCCCAAGCAAAAATTTACAATCGGCGCAGTGTTGCGCCAGTACTGGCAATTACTGGCAAAGCACTGACCGCCAATATTGAACCAATACTGGCATATGTTTGGGATGATAACGTTTATTAGTAATGGCTTAGTACTGGCGTTCAGTACTGGTTCAATACTGGAATTTAGCAGTAATTCTGTATTTTGCCAGTACGGGCAAAATTATTGTAACCATATTAATAAGCCAGCACTGGTAGATATTCAAAATTCAGGGCTCTTTTTGCTTTTTACATTAATTGAGCAGCTGGATCGAAGAACCGACTCTTCGCTCGAACCGCACGCGTTCATAGCATTAACTATCAATAATAATAAATTATTATAATAACTTTTAAATTGTTATTTTTTTATATTAACATTTTACTCTTTATTTTATTATTCAAATAATTTCTTCAAATATTATAAAATATGGCATTCGGTATTGAATTAATACTGACCGAATACTGGTTTGCCATTACTGTCTCAATAATACTGGCATGCCGGTATTGGCTTGCAGTATTGGCACAGTACAGAATTTAATCCATATCAGTACTGAACCCATACTGGTAAGCCAACTGTCGGCTAGCCAATATTGGTGTATGATTGCGCCTGTTGTCAATATCGGCGTTTGATAAAAATTTTTGCTTGGGGCTTCTGCTGCAAGCTTACGTGCTATCTGGGTGGATGTTCAAATAATGTTCTAGAACATTTTTTGGCAGACATGAAACGTTCTAAAAACGTTTTTGGAACGAATATGATTTTTCGCCCACTAGAAAATTGCAAACACAACAACAATTTTCTCATTGGTAGGAAAAAGTGCGCGCTTATTTAAATGGCTTTAATATAAGAAAATATTAAAACAACAATAAAAAAAATGTTCAACAACTAAATTTATCTTTAGTTATATTTAAAAAAAAACCCTAATGGGCTAGCTTATGTCAAGTTTTATAATAAAAAGGCCTAATAATTTTTATTAGAAAATTATGAAAAAATGATTTAAAAAAAATTAATTTTCAGTAATAATTAATTAGTTAATTAAGTTATGACATTTTAATTTAAAATAAGTTCATTTGTATAGAAAAAAGAGCATTGTCAGATCTTTATTCTCTCAAGCTCGCTTCAAAGTCACATTGAATTTATTATAATTTTGAAGCATTGACTTTAAAATGGGTTTTAGTTAGTTAAACTGAAAAAAATTTATTTCACTCAAATAAAATTAATTAATTATTTAAATTTAAGTAAGTAATAAAAATTGAGACATTTTTCTTATTATTTTATTTTTTTTATTCAATCCCATTAAAATGTAATTAGTATAAGAAAATCCAATATAAGTGCCCTAAAAATGTGACAGTCAAATGCATGCAGTTATGAGGGAAAGAACAGCTTCCTGAAATTGTGAATAAAATGTGTTTTCTTTCAATTTGACAAATTATATAAAAAACTACAGACAAAAATTTGTTTAATCAAAAAAAAAACAAGTTCAACTTATTTACAAGTTTTTCTTTTTAACAATAAATCAAAACAAACAAGAAATCGGTAAAGTTGAAGCCTAGAAAATAATTAATTTAATTGAAAAGTTAAGAAAAAAATACATCCAAAAATGGCTAAAAACACAAAATCAATGTTACTTTTGCAATATGCCACAGCTATCACAGGTAAGTGTATAAAATAGTTTGTAAAGAACCATTTTTTAAGAAAGAATAAGACAAAGAGTTTGAAAAAGTTATTGCAACTATATATTTTTGTATTTTTAAAGAGAAAGTTGATTTAAATTTGAAAAAAGCTTCGGTAAAATTTTAAATAATTTAATTTAAAAAATTTTAAACAATTAGAAATTGCACTTAGGTAACATAAACAATTTCTAAGTGTTTAGAATTTTAGAAATATAATTATTTAAAATTTCACGGAAGCTTTTTTAAAATTTAAATCATCTTTTTCTTTAAAAATACAAAAATACCTATTAGCATTAATTACTTTTTAACTACACTCTGTAATACAAAAATTTTCCTATTAAATTTAAAAATTGTATTAATTATACTACCATATAATCGACTTGTTTTGAAAAATTTATTAGAAACAACTCATAGTCTTTATTAAAATGCGTTAAATTAATTTATAGAAATAGGTAAGGTTTAAAGGTATTAGAATAAATTTTTTATCGGGCAAAAAAAAAGAGAATGACGGCACTGTAGCTGTTCAAACTTAGTTCCTTAATATTGCGCCGTGGATTGGCCAGGTCTTTGTAATTAACGAAAATCGACAAACCAAATTATTTACTAAAATAAGATATTCCGCTTTGAGCTAATTTTAATTGAGTGAAAGAAAAAATTAATTGAAAATTTAAAAACACTAAAAAACAGAACTTTAAAGTAAATGCATTTTTTAAAGCAAGAAATTTATTACATGAGGTTTCGCTCTCATGTTTTTATTCATAAAAATTTTTTTGTACAATTTATATAAGTGAAATTTTTGTTTTTTATAAATTAAATTTCATTTTCTTAAAGTACTTTGACTTTAAGGATAACATTCTCATCACGGCACTCGCGTTTCACGCTCGAAAATTAGAAACATACAATAGGAAAAGGAGGCATGCATTAACCCATTAACGAAATTTTTACAGGTAATTTGAGGCTCTATCAAATAGTGTACTAAAAGAACCGACAAATTTTTAAATAAACAATTTACAAGCATTAAAAAAAAGATTTTTTTAGAATTTTTGTTCAGTTTTTGTAATTTTTTCAAATCTTATCCCTTCAGAATATCTTTAAATGCTAAAAATATGGCGTCAAAAATGTTTCAATACGCCATTTTGAATTTTTAAAAACTGACTTCAGAATCGTAATGAGCGACCTAAAAAACCAAGGAGTAGAAAGATTTATTTAAATTTGTTAAAAAGATTGTTGAAAAATGAATTTTCTCTTAAAAAATAGCAATGTTTATACTTAGTTAATTTATAATTCTTTATAATTTCGCCTGCTACACTTATTATTTTTGTTTTACTTCACAATGCTTTCGTTATAGTGGAAAAAATGTTTTAGGAATACTGCTTCAAAAACTTTAAATCTAGAGATGAAAGTTGCTAAAAGAAAAGATGGCAAAATAGGTTAAAACTGGTCCGCAAAAAATTCATGAGTAAAATTACACATCGAAAATAATTTAAAATTTTTGTTACCTTAATCGTTATAGAACATAACTTTTTTAACTTTTTTGTTTTAATCTGTATCGAAAAGTGTTAAAGAAAAAAAAATTTACAAATCTACAAATAAGTGAATTTTAACTAATTCAAAAGTAAATAATCGAAAAAATACGAAATTGTGGTATAAACAGCGCAATATAAAGTATTTTAAAATAGAGGATTTTTTGAAAACAATTGCAATGTTTGGCAATGGAAAACAATAGTTGGACTTATAAAAAAAAAAATCGGAACTTTATGAGTAAGTCACTGTTATTTATGTTAATTTAAGGTGGTTTAAACAGAAATAATACATAGATGAACATAGGTTTTCAAAATAAAGTAATTTTGCTCTGCATTTTACCCATTTTTCATCCGTTTTTGTCACTTTTTGTCTTTTTTTAAAAAAGTGGTATAACTTTTTTGTTTTAATCGCTATTAAAAATTGTCAAAGGAAAAAAGTGTTTATTTTTAGTCGTAATTTAAAAAAAAAAAATTGAAAAAATTTTTTTTTTGAAAAATGCGAATTTTAGAACTTTTTAAAAACTAAAAATTTGAATTATTTTGTTGTTTTTCAACGAAATCATCTGCCCGAGTCGAAATTTTTCCCTTTTTTCACCCTCGATTTTTTCAGCCTCTTTTCAGCCTGAAATCATGCGCTTATTTCCAAATCTGCATGTTTAGAGGTTTGAAAAGAGGTCTTGGAATTTTTTCTTAATTTGGATTTTTCCAAGTTTTATTCCTCCTAAAAGTTTTATAGTATTACGACAAAGACCAATAAATATATCTTCAATAGGGTCAATAAATAATGTCCATAAGAAAAAAAATTCAATTTTTACTTTTTTTTAATTTTATTTTTTCGTTTTTTTTGTTTTTTTAACCTCTTTTACGCCTCTCTAGTCATCTTTAAACCCTCCTTTCAGCCTCGAATATAGCAGATATTTCCACTTTTGCAAATTCGAGGTCGAAAAGAGGGCATGAAAGTGTTGGAGAGAATAAAAGGAGGATAAAAGGAGGTTTTTAGAGAACTTATAGAGAGTCTAAATTTCGACTCGGGTGGCCAACGAACTCAGGCGAGATTTTGGTACACTTAAGGTGTATATCAAATTTGAAGTCGATTCATTAAAATTTGTTCAAGTTATCGTCGGACCAAATTTTGTCTACAGACATACAGACATTTTTTTAGGACCCATTTTTTCGGCATCAGAAAGTCTCAAAACGTCGAGATTTACTAAAATTAGAGAATGCTCAAAATCGCCCAAATGTAATACCTTCTCATTATGATGAGAATGTAAAAAACTGAAATTATTTTTTAAATTATTTTGAATGTAGTTTAAATAAATATAACAACCACGAATCTCTTTATATATGGGAGGCGCTTTTTACTTCCCAGTAAAAAAAAAAGTATAGACAGTAAGGAAAAAGTATAGACTCATAGCTTAGTGGCTATACCGTTCGGCATGTAATGACGGTATAGAGACGTTACGGTGTATACTTTTTTCTTACCGTGAATACGGTTCACCTGGATTGTTTGAATTGATGTGTATTAACGCGATTTGACATTGTCAATGAAAAAGCCGATTGTTTTGAAGTGTAATAATGCCGATTACGAGGAGGAGCGACGAAATTTTATCTAAAAGTTAAAAAGGTAAATGTGACAGGCACGAGACCTGCGAGAGTTGTTACCACTGGATTGAGGAAATGCATCATTACTGACAAAAAGTATTCGACAGAAACTTACCGACAGAAAGTTACTAGGAAGAGCGGCAAATTCAAATGGTCAAATTAAATTCGAATGAATATATACATAATTTAATATAGTTTTTTTATTTTAAATCAAGTATAGTATTTTAAATAATTAAATACCGATATTAAATAATTAATGTTTATTATAAAAATTGACATATAGACATGAAAATTTTTTCATTTTTAGCATTTAAATCTGTGAAATAATGAAATATTGTAATTTTATTTTTTAATTACAAAAAATTTTTATTTTTTATTAATTATTAATAATTAAATTTTTTTCATAAAAATAAAAATGTACTGCAAAGAATATGTTTTATGCATTGAAAAATAAAAATTTGTTAAAATATATTATTTCTATATTTTGTAAATAAAGTTATTTATTAAAATAATTTTTTTATTTATAAAATTGAAATAGATTAAAAAATTAATGTTTTAAATTAAAAATTTTTTATTTGAATTAATATATGTAATTAACTATTATGAAAATTAATTAGTCGTTAAATTTTTTTTTTTTTTTAATAATAACTAATCTTTTTTTACCTATAAACAAATTTAATTTTATTTTGAACAAAATTATATTTTTAATGATAAAAACTTTGTTATTTTACATAGAGACGAATAATATTATACTTTTTTTATTTGTGAGTGAGAAGTGACCAAAACCAAATAATTGTAAATCATCGTAAAAATATTTTAAAAGGGATAGAAACAAATAATACATTTTAAAATTATACAACACAAGAATACTCGCAAATGCGATTGTAAAACGAAAAGTACGAAAGTAATATAATTTTAGGTTTATTACGTCCTGCAGCCGTTAGGTGGCAGAAGCATGCAGGGAGCACAATGTCGCAGCTGTCATTATATTACTTTCGTACTTTTCGTTTTACAATCGCATTTTTGTATAGATTTGCACAATCTTTCGGATTTAAGAAATTTATAAGATAAGGATCCTTGGTATTTTTTCCGATTTTGAAAAAAGTGTCCGCGTTTTGAGAAAAAAGTATTTTAAACTCAATGTTTATCATTTTCACGTTCAGTGCCGTTTTTATAGGGCGATTATTGAATGCCAACGAATTTCAGAGACCGTTCGACACTCTTAAACGATATTTTTTTATTTGTGAATTTCTTTTATATTTAAACGCATTCTTTTATCCTACAATAATTTTTAATGCTTATAATTTGTTTCATACGCGTAAATGCGATTTGCGAGTATTCTTGTGTTGTATAATTTTAAAATGTATTATTTGTTTCTATCCCTTTTAAAATATTTTTACGATGATTTACAATTATTTGGTTTTGGTCACTTCTCACTCACAAATAAAAAAAGTATAATATTATTCGTCTCTATGTAAAATAACAAAGTTTTTATCATTAAAAATATAATTTTGTTCAAAATAAAATTAAATTTGTTTATAGGTAAAAAAAGATTAGTTATTATTAAAAAAAAAAAAAATTTAACGACTAATTAATTTTCATAATAGTTAATTACATATATTAATTCAAATAAAAAATTTTTAATTTAAAACATTAATTTTTTAATCTATTTCAATTTTATAAATAAAAAAATTATTTTAATAAATAACTTTATTTACAAAATATAGAAATAATATATTTTAACAAATTTTTATTTTTCAATGCATAAAACATATTCTTTGCAGTACATTTTTATTTTTATGAAAAAAATTTAATTATTAATAATTAATAAAAAATAAAAATTTTTTGTAATTAAAAAATAAAATTACAATATTTCATTATTTCACAGATTTAAATGCTAAAAATGAAAAAATTTTCATGTCTATATGTCAATTTTTATAATAAACATTAATTATTTAATATCGGTATTTAATTATTTAAAATACTATACTTGATTTAAAATAAAAAAACTATATTAAATTATGTATATATTCATTCGAATTTAATTTGACCATTTGAATTTGCCGCTCTTCCTAGTAACTTTCTGTCGGTAAGTTTCTGTCGAATACTTTTTGTCAGTAATGATGCATTTCCTCAATCCAGTGGTAACAACTCTCGCAGGTCTCGTGCCTGTCACATTTACCTTTTTAACTTTTAGATAAAATTTCGTCGCTCCTCCTCGTAATCGGCATTATTACACTTCAAAACAATCGGCTTTTTCATTGACAATGTCAAATCGCGTTAATACACATCAATTCAAACAATCCAGGTGAACCGTATTCACGGTAAGAAAAAAGTATACACCGTAACGTCTCTATACCGTCATTACATGCCGAACGGTATAGCCACTAAGCTATGAGTCTATACTTTTTCCTTACTGTCTATACTTTTTTTTTTACTGGGTTGTTACTTGCACTAATTTTCTTTCATTTTAATGAGAAAGAAAAGAAACGTATATTTTTAAAATTTCAGGTTGTATGACAGTCGTCGGATATGGCTCAATGATTTCTTGGAGTTCTCCAGCACTACCATTTTTAGAAAGTCCAGAATCAGACATTAAAATAACACTAAACCAAAGTTCATGGATAGCGTCTCTTAATTTAATTGGATTATCAATAGGATTCCTCTTGAATCCACTTTTTATCGATCGAATAGGACGAAAATGGACATTAATTATGTTTGCCGTGCCGCAAATAATTTCTTGGCTAATGATAATTTTGGCAAAGAGTCACATCACGCTTTATTGTGCACGACTGATTGGAGGCGCTGGTTATGGTGGTGGTATCTGCGCGATGACAGTGTACATGACAGAAATTTGTAACAAGGATAATCGAGAAATTTTCATGATTCTCCTTCGACTCTCAAAAGATCTTGGCTGTACACTGATAATGTTACTCGGTGCTTTTTTTACCTATCAACAAATGAATTTTGTTCTTCTAATGCTGCCAATTTTGTTTCTTCTAATTTTTTTCGCTATGCCCGATTGTCAAAGAAGAATCGAAAAAGAGAAATCGAATTCTCAAGAATGTGGTGTTTATGTTATTCAACATCACTTGGAATCCGCTAATGAAATAAATAAAAATTCTTCCAAAACGCCAGTGAATATCGAACCTGACAGATTGGAAGAGTGTCAAAAAATTATTGTTTTTCTTCGGGAAACAAATATATGGAAATTATTTTCAAATTCAACAAACAGAAAAGCTTTGATAATTGTCATATCAACTGGATTGTTGAGCACTCTATCCGGACAAGTGGCTATGGTAGCTTTTGGACAAAAAATATTGAGTTACAAAACCTCGCCAATGGATCCAAAGAAGACCATGATTTTATTATCGGCTCTAAATGCAATCACTTGCCTCGTGAGTACACAAATAATCGAAAAAATAAATCGAAGAAATATTTTAATTTTCTCCGGACTAATTTCTTCCATTTCGCTTTTCATTATTGGTGCATATTTTTATGTTGAAGAAAGTATTTTGTTATCCTCCGACTTATCAGGATGGATACCAATTATTTTCCTGTCATTTGTTTCTGTGTTTCTTACCAGTGGACCATGTAATTTACTTACCATCTATCAAGGTGAATTGTTTGCAAATGATGTGAAAAGTATAGCAGTGACAGTTGTGAAACTAGTTAATCCTTTTTTTAAATTTTTGTCAGTATATTATTTTCAAGAATGGACAACAATTGTTCATGTGTATGGGATATTTTGGTGTTTCAGTATTTGTTGTTTGTTAGGGACAATTTTGATTTATCTAATGGCTCCAGAATCAAGAGGAAAGACGATTGAAGAAATTCAAGAAAATTTGAAAAAAAGATCATTGTTTTACCGTATTCACTATTGTGGTTCACAAAAAGGATGTTTTTCTTCATAAAAAATCTATTTTCAGTGCCGTCAGTCCGTTTGACTGTATAGTTTTAATATTTTATTTTTGTTATAAAAGAGTTTTTTTTTTAAATTAACTTCATAATAAAAAGGCCTTGTATGGTTATTAGTGAGCTCAACCCTGACTACCTTTTTTTTTAATTGCGTACAACTCCGAAACTTTTGGTCAAATATTCTTACAATGTTCGGCAAAAACATTGTATTTTAATAGATCTTTCGAACAATATGCGAGAAATCTCGAAATTTCAGTAAATGTAAAATGTAGATTTTTTTCGGACTAAGGGGAAAAGAAGATAAAAGAAACTGTGACACTTATGGTATTAAATTCGAATTTATTTTGCCATATATTTTTTAATTCATTATCATAACTGGCTAAATTATAATATCCTTATTGAAATTGACATAAACAGTCTTCTTACAATGCTTGCTCCCTTGCAGCTTTTACATAATTATAATATATATTGAAACAAAGTACAGAATCAGTCATCCTATCAATTAGGTGAATCAAGAATTACATTATTATTATTATTATTATTATTGTAGTTTATAACTACTAAAATCTTTCATATATATATTTATAATTCTCGATCGTTTTTATTTCTTTCTAGAAATAAAGACTTCTCCTTTTTATTTTCATTATTACATTCAAATCCCATTTATGTATATTTTTTCAATTCCGCAATAAGTTTACCGAAAAATTGCGAAATTGTCAAATTCGTTAATTAATATAAATAATCAATTTATTTAATAACTGTTAAAAATAATAATGTATTTATTATTAATTAATAACATTCCTTTTAAAAATACAAATTTTATAAACAATTTTAAACTATTAGAAAAATAATTTACAGTGTAATTTATAACAACAAATAAAAACAATTTTTTTCCTAAAATTTTTACAAAAATTATAGGTATGGAATATTTCTTGACTGAAAAAGTAATTATAAATAAATTATTTATTAACTTAATTTTACTTTTTTCAGAAAAAAGTAAATCTCAAATTTATTTTTTCCTTTATTGAAGTATCATTCTCATTATTTTTTCATTATTTTGAGAATAAATTAAATAAGGTAATTATTAAATTATTAATTATTTAATTCAGTTAAATTTATCAAATTATTAATTAATTAATTAATTTATTTATTTATTTATAGAAATAATGAAAAATAATAATTATTTCACTAGAAATTTTGCTCCGAAAATTATAGAGCAATAAAATTTTAAACATTCGCAGATGATACAAATTGGAGAAATCTTTAATATTTTTTGTGGTATGGGGGGTGCACGTTTGATTAAATTTTAATCCATTCACAGAAAATTAAAAGGCATTAAAATAAGCTGCAACGCTTCTTATTTTTATCCAATTTTGCTTATTTTAATCCATTTTGGTATTAAAATAAGCAAAATTGTATTAAAATAAGAAGCGTTGCAGCTTATTTTAATGCCTTTTAATTTTCTGTGTTAACGCTCTTGATTTACATGTTTTTTAACAAGTATATTTGGAAATGTTGAAAAGAAAAATTTCAGAATTTTAATGAAGAATTAAATATTTATTATAGAGCGTTAAAGGTAGTTTTAAAAATTTATCTTTTGTTTCTTTTTTCTTTTTTTTGTTTTTTTTCTGTTTTTCTTTGGTTTTGAAGGGACCAATCTTTATGGCCCCGGCAAGGAAAAGTCATACAACATTATATAACATTTATGTAATATAACGTTATGTATAACCATATTGAAAGTTTTCTTTTAGTTTTTTGTTTTTGCTTATCTATGAGGAGGTTATGGATATAGAAATATTCATTACACCCTAAATTTTTTTTTTATTACATGAAAATTGAATTATATGTCTTTTCGTATTTATATGTGACCTGGCCAGATAAAAGAGACCTTACATCCGAAAAAATCGATTTTTTATTGATTGGTGATTCTGATAGAGAAAACTTTTTTCTATCAGAATCACCAATCAATAAAAAATCGATTTTTTCGGATGTAAGGTCCTTTTTATCTGGCCAGGTCACATATATATATATGTCGTAGCCACTGTATGAAAAACCGCATTTCATGAAGTGCTTGCACGTTTAATGAAGTGCGGTGACATTGTGAAAAAAATATTTACTTCACAATGTGTCCAACATTTTTGAACATTTTATCAAGTGCTACAGCCAATTATGTACTTTGCGAATCTAAGTGAAATTTCATAATACGTCCAAATATAAAATGCATTTCATGAAATGTCCAAGTCGTTCAATGCCGATAATGAAGAAATTGTATTAACAGTTAATTTCTTGTCATTATTTCTACGGTAAGTCTAATCTTTAATTAAAATCATTCATTTACAAATCAATATCTTTCTATTAATGTAGTGTCGTTTATTCATTTTATATATTTTATAATTTGAAAAGAAAATGGTAGTAAATGAGAGTGATTACCTCGCAAAAATTGTATCAACACTACCAACATAAATGTTAGTCACATTGTGAATTAAAGCGGTTTTTCACAAAGTGGCTACGACATATATATTTTGTGTTGGTGTGTGTTTTTCGTAAAGCGTATACGTTATAAATATGAACTACCTACAATAAATTATTTAAACGTCGTAACTCGCTTAATTTAACTATTTACACTATAGTGTCGCTCGAGAAATTTTTTTATTAATTTTTTAAGATGCGCTTTTGTATACTATAATTTCCCCTCGAGTCATGTGACATTTTTTAAATATTGAAAATAAACAACAAGAACTTTCCGTTTTTTTCTTTATATTACATTGAACACGTATAGTAATTCCTCTCTCATCGATTTCATCATTTCGATGATAACAATAATTATTTTTAATCAATAATTTTGCATTAACTGTCAATTTTTCAATTAAATTTAATTACAGAAATAAATTTTGATAATAAAATATAAATAAAAAATAAATTATACTATATTATATTCCTTTAATATAATGAAATAAAAAATAAAGAAACAATTAGAATAATTTATTTTTTGATCTTATATAGTTTAAAAATAATTTGTATCTCAATATATTTATTTAATTTTAGGATTTCATAAATGATTTGTAGAATTTTTCTATTTTTTATTTGTTAACAATTTATTTAATTATCTATATTATTATATAATATATAAATAATGTATAGGTACCTACCTAAATAATATAAATAATATACTTTTTGCAACACTAACCTCTAAAGTTAAATTTTACACACCAAAAAGTGTGTGTAAAGAAGCTCTTTTTAAAACGGTGTGTAAAGTGATTCACTTTACGCACCGAAATTTTTCTCACATAATATAAGGATTGTTTTAGACCATACAAAACCACAAAATTAAAAAACGAACTTTACTTTTAAATTTATACACTCCCGCTTAATGATATTTTTCCTGATCTTCGATTGATTTATTTAATTCTATACAATCGACATTATTCTACACTGAAAAACTTTTGGGGCAGCTGCTCTCCCAATCGAAAAATTTCTATGTTCAGTTAACTTCACTCATATAAAAACTCATGATAAATATTGAGTATGAAGTTAACTAAATATAGAAATTTTTCGATTGGGAGAGCAGCTGCCCCAAAAGTTTTTCAGTGTAATAGAGAGTTGGAATTGTTCATGATAGGTACTCAACTTTAGAGGTGGGTGTTGCAAAAAATGTTGTATGATACACGTGCGTAAATCTGATTATACTCGTATAATCACTCACTTTACGCACTTGTATCATAAATAACTATTTTTATATCTTAACTAATAAAATTTTTTTTAAATAATTGTAATTTAATAATTTATAAAATTCTACAATTTCATAATAATGAAATTCTTATTTTGGTAAACTTTTTTTTAAGTTTTGTTTTCCAACTGTTGAACTTTATTATTTCTAAATATATAAATAAATTAATTTTTTCAATTGAATGCAAATTGGAATAAAAATTTAATTTTAATAGTAGTAATAAAATGTTGAAAATTGCTTGAAAAAAATAAAAGATTCAGTAATTAAATGAAATTGAAATTTTCATTGATTTTTTTAACAGGTAAAAATTCTGGGTTTATTTTGGTTTCAGCGAGTCTCGAGAGTTTTAAAATGGAGCTTTCTTTTTTTTAACTGGACTGTTTTTTCTCCTGTTTCAGCATGCACTTTTTGGCAGTGGTAGCTCAGAATTCATTTAAGGCAGTTGGTATCCTACTTTGAATCTTTCTATCGGCGACATATAGACATTCGAAGACGATTCAAGGAGTTTTTTTCTTTCTTTTATTTTTGCATTATAAGTGAAGAGTTTTATAGGAAGTGGTAAAGAACTCACGGGAAGATAATGTTTTTATGCTAAAGATAATATATCATCCTTTGAAAATTCGTCGAAAAATTACATTCGTACTTTTGATTGGAATTTTTATTTAAAAAGAATTTATTCTATTGTATGTGAATTAATTGTTCAATTTTTGGATATTTAAGTCAAATATTTCAATTTCCAGTTGTTTGATTTTTAAATTTTCTTGTAAATTCGGATTTTTACATTCTTTTTCTAGTAAATTTTCTCTTAACTCAAAATTTGTTTCTGTTTTTTCAAAAATCTTCTTTTTTTTGTTGTACATTCTCGAATTTTTTGCAGAATCTCCATACGAGAAAAATTGTGTACAGACACTGAACAGCCTACAGTAGAGCAGTGGCTCTGCAGGCTATGTGTGTGTCAGCGTCACGTTTTAGGAATTACAGCGGTCCATTTTATGTGCAGCTGCTGACCAAAATTTTTTCCCGTGCATTACATGGATAAAAAAAGTGAAGTATAGATAAATGAAGAGGAATATGATGATATCTTGAAGATTATTATAGATAATTATTATTTTGTTTGTTTGTCTTATTATCCAACCGCCTTAACTCTTTGCCCTTGCACTAAATTTTCTTGTTGGGTTGCCAATTTGATTTGGACCGTCAATTCCTCGTCGACCGGAATCGCCGTTGGTCGATTGAGAGTTGTAGAAAAGTTCGGGTCACCAGGCCTCAGTGTAGCGTACATCAAATTCCTGAAGTGACGGCAATCTCTTCTTCAGCGACTCAAACGTTTGGGCCGATAATTTTGTGCTGTTTAGGTTCAATTTTCGTAGGCTTGTCAGTGCTGTAAATATTTTCATTTGAGATAAAAACAAAATATTCATTTATAACAGCTATTCAACTAATATTGCAATACAAACAAGATATAAAATGAAAAAAAACTCACAGGCCAGAGTAGAAATGCCTTTATCGGAAACAGGCGTTTCGCAAAGATTGAGAACCTGAAGTTTTTGAAGATGTTCGCTTATCATTTGTAGGCCCGCGTCACCAAACTGAGTTGCCCATAAATTCAAGTACCTTAGTGCCGGGAGCTTAATTAATTGCTCAGCACACGCTGACGTGACTGACGTAAAAGCCAAACTCAAGCACTCTAAATTGCCCAAAGCTCCACCACCAAGAAGCAATGCAACGTCTGCATCAGTAGCACGAACTGGTAGCGTCAATTTTCTCGGTCCGCCTTTCTGTTGCTGAAAGGGAATGAAACAATTAATGAAAAACTTGTTTTTAATTTTTTTCTAAATTATTAAATTTTCATTTTTTCAAAAATCTGTCTTTAAAAACAATTGACATTGAGATATAAATATAAAATTTTTTCAAAGATACTCACGAGTTCTTGGAGATTTCGCTGTTTTTGGCAAAGTGCAGCGTAACGATTTCTTCCTGACTCTGTCGATTGAAGAGCGGAAACGACTTGCAGTCGTGCTTCTTCGTTCGGCAGAAGGCGCCATTCTAACATAAGACAAAGAGCCTCTTGAGCAGCATCACAGCCTCTCACACCCAACAGAATACAAGCACCGCCGGCTTGTTTCATCAATGAGCCGATGAAACGCTTTCTTCGACAGCAACATCCCAACAATGTCGTCAACTAAAAATCATTATCAAAATTTATAATTTACATTTTCTTTTCTTAACTCAAACGGAATGCACACGCAGAATCGAAACTATAATGAACATGTAATTTTCTTATTGAAAATAAAAATATGTAAATAAATACATATAATTATTCATGTGTCTCGTGTTTCTTAATTCAAAAGTAAATCGTCAATAGTAAAACTATGTGAAGTTGTGTGTGAGTTTATCTCTTAAATAAATGCCAAGAATAGAACTATCAAAATTTTAAATACCTTCAGAAACACTTGTGAGAATTGAGATATAAATTTGAAATTCAATGATCTGAAAATAATCATTTTCACTAAAATTGAAATTTCTTAGCTGTTAACGTCATGTGCGGAAATCGAAATTCTATAAGCGTTCTATTGCATTGACCTCGTTTTTGTTTTGATTTTCACCAATTAAAATCGATTAATTTCTCAATTTAAATGATATATTTAAAAATGGAATAAAAGTTTCTTTCTTCAAAATTGAATTTTTTATGAAAAATTACCATTTCGCCAAATAATTCGCCTTGATCGGGACAAGCTGGACTTGATGGGGCAACAATATGAATCCAACCGGGACGTAGTTCTCGCACCGGAAGTAATACTCTGTGGACTGTACATCGTGGATCTTTGGCGAGGCGTTTCATGACGCACATTAATACCGATTCCTGAACCTCTTTGTCAGCCAATGCTTCTTCCGGAAATGGAACTGGTTGTAAAAGTGCCGAGAGTCCCGGTCTCCAATCAGCGTATTCCGATCTGGAATATCGTATTCCAATATATTGAAACATCAATTTTATTATTATTTTATTAAGAATTTGGAAGAAAAATAAAAAGCAACTTACGCCACGTTTAAAACCAGCAGATAACAACTTAAAGGTGGCAAATCGACTGTTTTATCCTCATTTACAGAATCCCGATTTACTTCCTCGAACCTGAAATATTTTTCCGAAAAAGATTCAATTAATTGTTTTATATTATTTATTTTTGTATTTTAAATTAAAAAAGAAAAAAGAAAAAAAAGACGTCGACTTACCTGTGAAAAATAGCAGCGACGCAAATTGAGACTAAATTTGGCAGCACTCGTGGATGTGGACAATCACTTCCTGGACCATGAACGGACGCTATATATTCGCGAATCGCCTTTTCGCCGTCATTATTCTCATAGATCGCGGCAACAAAAACTTGAAGTAATTTTCGCATATCGGGTGATTTTCCAAAATCGACAGTGTGCTTGAGACATCGGGTGATTGCCGGACTCAGCGCGTGAACCAATGGCGATCGCGGATGTCGTTGGGCCAATTTCGATAATACACGAGTCAAATTGGGCGGTGGTGCCGCTCTTTCCAAAAGTGGCGCCGCCACCGCCAACACTGCCTCAGCCCAACTTCTTCTGTCGCTTCGTTCCTTTTTCTCTTTCATCTCATTAATGTCAGTCAATTTATCTGCAAAATTATGTTTTCTTTCATTAATAAAATAAATTAAGTAATAAATTTAAAAATCATTTATTTATTTCTCTAACCATTTTTCACGTCGGATTCGATGACGACGGGATCTTCTAAAAGTTTTGCGACTGCCTCGAGGGGCGCCCCGGGCACTCGTTCATCCTGAAGGGGAGTCCAAAGAGCAAAATCCACCAGGGTCTTCAATTCTTTAAGAATAACTTCCTCCCTGGTGCTCACTGACACCATGTATTGATATTTGAAAATACTTTTCTACAATATTCCCAATAATTTGTCTATTAATGTAAACTAATTAAATAACTGAAATTATTAAATTAGTTACATTAAAAAAAATTAAATACCTAAAAAGTCATTTTCAAATCAAAAAATTTCCAATAATATGTAATAGATCTCACTTTTTTCTTTAATTAAAAGAAAGAAAAGATAACATTAACATTTCAATTAATTACTCATGCGCACCAATTATTTTCTAACGTCAAACCGCAAACGATAATAAAATGCTAAAATAGCTCAAAGAAAAACTAGACGATAAGGAAAATGTAACAGAGACTTAAAAAACTTGAATGTGTACGAATGAATGAACATAAAAATAAATCGCTTAATCCTTTCAAGATTATTATTATTACCGGGTGAAATAATAAAAAAAACCCAACCAAAAATTTCAGTATTATACCAGAGTTAACTACTGGCGCAGTACTGGTTCAGTATTGGCTGCCGAGGTTGGTCAGTCTTTACTGAACCAGTACTGGTATTTTCATTGTATCAGTACTGGTGCAGTACTGGCAAACCAGTACTGAGCCGATATTGAGCCAGTACTGGCGCAAATGGATTTTCTTTTTGATTAATACTAGTTTACAAAGAGTTCTAGAGTGAACCTGATGAATCTTTTTGTTTAAATATTTTGTTTATAAAAATTTTTTCACTTTGATTTTATTTTTGAAAATTTAAGGTATTTTATTGTGCTTTTTTGTGGGTAAAATTATTTAAACAAAAAGTTTCCTGAGACTAATTCCAAAAGATTTTGCAAATAATTAAAGTGAATAATGAAATAATTAAATAGCTAATTGTATAATTATATACATTATAATTATTTTATAAACATTTTTATTTTTATTCAACTGTTTTTATATATAAAAATAATAATAATAATAATATAAATAATAATTTGCAATATATATTATACTTAATAAAAAATAAAAACTCTTGGTGTTTATATATAATAAAATATTAATTAGTTAGTTGACTAATTTAATTAATATTTAATTTGTGTTGGGTTACTAAAAATTTCACACACTTTTTCCTAAAAAAAAGTATTACCTTGACTTATCTCTGTTACAGTTAAAGCTTTCTTTTAGTATACAATAAATTATAAAACTGCCAGTACTCGGCCAGTACTGAACCAGCAGTGGTTACCAGTACTGGTGCCAACTCTGGTAGCCAATACTGGTAAAATGTTATCATCCCAAAGTTACGCCAACTCTAGGGCCAATACTGGGTTCCAGTACTGCGCCATTAGTAAATTTTTGATTGGGTAGTAATGTAGATGATAATAATAATAAAATAGTAAAAATGATTTTTATAAATTTTATCATTATTTTAATTTTATAAAGAAAATTACCTTCCAGAGAATTGAATGGTACCATTGGTCCCTTGTATAAGCATTGCTTGCTTGCAGCAAAAGCGAGCCATCGGGAAGGACAATTCTCAAACAATATTTGTAATTTGGATCCCATCTTGCCACAGCATAAACTTCAGACATTGCGCTATATGGAACTGGCTGTTGTAAAAATCCAGAGAGCTGTAAAGAAAAAATTTTTGAATAACTTTAAAATACGTGAAAAAATTATTTATTTATAAATAGTATAAAGCATACCTGAAATAAACTTTTATATTTTTTAAAAAATCTAATTTCTAATTGAGAATTATTTTTATCGACTACTTTAATTAAAAACTATGTTTTAACTAGCATTTATAAGAAGAATCTAATTTTCTGAGTGAAAGTAAAATTACAACTGAACTAAAAAGACCTTTTTAATTAAAATACTAAATGTTTCATTTAATTATAAAGCAAATTTTATTTTCCTATAAAAATCCTCATTTTCATTTTAAAATTAAATATTTTTAATTTAAAGAAAAACAAAATTTGTTTGAAAATTATTTCAAAAGTTATTTTTAATTCAAGATTTATTCAATTTCAATGTTAATGAAATTTATTATATTAATTTTTAAATACGAAAAAGCTTTGAAAAATTTTTTAAACATATTTCTCTAGTTTTCAAAGAAATTTTCAAACGTCGTGTAAAATTATATATACACAAGGGAGTACGCGAATGTTTCCATAATAATTTTTAAATCAAGACGCAAAAATATCCGTCAATAATTCATTTATTTTCAGTCCACTTGCCAATGCCAGTAATGGAAAACTAAGTTTTATTATTACTTTTAAATTGAAAGCGAGAGCAATCAAGAATTTGGGTCGGCTCGAACAAATCAGATTGGATTCGTTGAAGCAAACATACACACATATATATTTATCTGTACAAGTAAAATTCATCATACCAATCGTGCAAAATCGATAACGATATGAAATATTTAATCTAAACGAAAAAAAATTCAAAATTCTCAAAATGGTAAAATATATTTTTAAATTTCCCGCTCAAGTTTTACCAATGTCGGGAAAATTTTATTTCTAATTGAGAACAAAAAATACAATTAAAATTTAATATTTAAATTCAATTTGACAAATGTTTTAATGATAATTGAGAAAAAAATTATTGATATATTTTTAAAAATAAATTAAAAATTTAAATAATAAAGAAGGAAATAAACAGCAGATAAAGATTTAGAATTTCGATTTGTCAGTCTATTAAACCTATACTATATCACATACTTTAGAGAGGCATGCAATCAAACCAATTGTCAAGAAAATAACCTCTGTCTCGATTGACGGTTTTTAGATAACTAAACACGAGAATGAAATTGGTTTTTCAAAATTAAAAATGTCGGATGCTTTTAAAAAACAAGGTGAATTCAATTGAAACTTGTTTCTCTGAGTTTTTGGTGTCGCTGATATTATACGACGAATTTAATTTGAAAATGAAAAAAATTCAAAATAACGAAACAAAAGCAAGTATAACTCGAGAAATTTTTGAGTTGAAATAAATTTTATTTTAATGTAAATGCAAAAAGAAATTTTGTTGTGTTTTCTTTTTTTTCAATAAGCTTTTGCGCAGTAGTCAGGTTGGATTATTGCCATTAACGATTTAGAGGTATTATCTTAAAGCGTAAAATGCGGTTATCGTTATCAGGATGCAAAGTGGTAAAATACATAACTGCTTAACAGGAAAGTGTATATGTCAATGTTAAACAGATGATGTGCGACGAGAAAGGTTTAACGACGTAACGACTTTTAAAGCCTTAATTAACTTTAATTCTCTCCCGACATACCTATATGGTATGTGTCAAAATTAAAGAATTTTCATTAATTAATTATTATTTACAATTAAACTCATTAGACATAACTTGAGTTTCTGAATGTAATGCTGACGTCTTTGGATTTTCTTTCTCATGTAGCGCGAGTTATCTTTAACTTGACCCATGTTATGTCATGGCTATGCGAAAAAAAGTTTAAAAATACCACATCTGCAATTCAGGTGAAACCTAAAGGGTGAACTTGAATAACATAAGATCATTTCGATAAAATCGAGTTTCCAAATATAAAAAAAGTTACGTACCTCCATTATTAACTGTTTGGAAGGAAAAATAATCTATTCTTTTAAAAAGTCACCGATTTACTTTATTAAGCTTATACTTGATAAAATACACGATTTTAAAACATTTTTTCATTGCGAAAAAAAAACCCAAAATTGGAAAGATAATATTTTGAATTAATTTGATGAGGTGGAAAATCGCTTTTTCATTGAAAAGTCCACGACACCAGAAAAGAAAAATCGATTTGTAAGGTCTACCCAGAACTCGGTTACTCGTGACGTAAAGAAGAAAAAGGAGGGTTGAGGTTGGCAAAAGAGGGATGGAAACGAGGAAAAAATAAGAGAAAAGGAAACAGGAACCGACAATGTTGCATAATATTCTCACACAGGTGCAGAGGACAATGCGCTTTGATTCAAACGGACTCGCACGATCCATTGGCGTGCCAAACAGGACAAATTGATTTATTTTTACGAAAATAAAATAAATGAAATCTTAAGGTTAAGTTGACAAATCAAAGACTATATAAAGGGCTAATAAATACAGTAGATGCTCCTTTTTTGCATTTGTGAAATTAACCCCTGAAATCCGATAAACCCATTAAGCCTGATCCCCGGAAAATAGGAAGACTTGCATCCCTCCTGCCACCCTCAAAAGACTTGGAAATGTCACACAGTATTTAGATTGACCCAAAACCCAGAGGAGATTTCCCCCTCCAGTCCCGACTACGCCATTGAGGAACTGGGTTTCCCGCGAGAGTTCTGATTGGTTGGTTGCAACTTTAACAGGCGAGTCCATGTTAACAAAAACAAACTCTCCTTTATGTGTGTGAGTGTGGGAGAGGGGAGGGAGGAAGACTGAATGACGTCAGTGGCGGATCTAGGCCGAGGGTTGAACGACTGTTGGAGCAGGCTAACAAATCTAGGACGGGCGATCATCGATTCCATCCCGTGAGGGGAAGTAGCCTTCCCACCAGGAATGGATTCTCGCCTGAAATCGCTAGAAAATAAGGTGTTCAAATTTAATAACAAAAAATGTAAGTATTTAAAAATATTGTCAAAAAAAGTCATTAAGAAAAACTCCTTAATGACAGATTAAGGGATAGACGCCCCCTGCTGCGAGGGTCGTATGAGCATTCATAGTCCCGAACTGCCGGACGCTTGTGGGTCGCATGGTGGGGGAAGGTCACTTCCCCTCACAGGACTCAATCGATGACTCAATGAACGGGCCAAAATCCAACCAGGGCTCTTGCACCCTGCTCATGACGCTTCCAACTCTTTTTTCTAATTTTTGGCAAACCCCTTTATCATAACGAGGGGTGTTGCGAATCTTATTGCGACAAACAGAGCGGCGACCCGGAATTTAATGAAATCTGCAAAATTAATACTATTTCCCTCGTTATTTATATGTATATACATATTATAGCAATATGAGGAGAAAAAAATTTAAATAAATACAACAGTAATGAATAAGAAAGAAAAATTAACCCAAATTTCGAAAGAACAGACTATTTAAAGCTGAATTCAAACAATATTTTCTTTTTCATTCATAAAATATATGTTTTAAAAGAGAGTTTGTCGTTGAATTTTCGTAGAATTTTTTTTCATTTTTCTCATCTTTCGCAGTTATTAATTATTATTTTAAGAGATATTTTTCTATATAAAATATAAAATAAAATTTTAAACAAGAAGTGATTTTTTATTTTTCTTTAAAAATAGAGAAACTTAAAAAATTGAAAAGTTAAAAGTGTATCAAGAGAAATGTTTTACGTGTCTCTTTTTTATACACGTGCTCGAAATCATTTCAAGGCATCACGCAGCAAAACAAACGAAATTAAAAATTGGAAATTTTTTTTTTCTTTTTCCATCAGTTATTAGTCTGAACATGAACCTTTATGAAAGCTAAAATAGGTCACATCGTTCTAGAAATATTGATGACGATAGATAACAAAGCGATGTCACGGTTGCGTTTCACCGCAAATATCTTTTTCTATAAATTGAAGAAACTTAAAAATTCTGTATCACACTTGATATATAGTAAAATTACCAAGCTTTTAAAAACTACGATGAGTGAAAAGAAGGAAAAAGTTTTCTTCCTAATTCCATATATTGTTCCTTAAAAATTATAATATATTCGTGTATAATAATAAAAAAAACTTCAACTTGAGAGAAAATCTAAATTAATTCCATTCAGGTTTTGAAAATTGTTTGAAAATAGGTATATTCGAAAAATATTTCAGCACATTTAATTGATTTGGTCCATTTTGTTTGACACATGTGTGAAAAGAATTTGCAAAGTTCAGACCAATGTGCTTTAAGGTCGCAGTGTAAAGTCCTAATTCTCCAGTGATGTACCTACCGTTTGACGTATGCTTGCATACCATTAATTGCAAATTAGCATTACTCATGAATTCCGATTTTAATTAATCGCAATTATTATTATAGTTGATTACATGCTAGAAAATTTATCGAAAATTCGTCACAAATTTTACATTAAAATTTTGTAAATTTAATTTATATAAAACATATCATTACTGTGTTTAATTTAATACTTTATGAAAGTGAATAAAATGGGTCCATAATTCGTTGAATGTTTATTTGAAATATTATATATATTTTTAATGTGATGAGAAAGAAGCGAGCGAATTTCAGTGTGAAGATAATTGGACTTGCGAGACACGGAGGCAACGACATAATTCTGCCATTGCATTGTGAGCTTTTGCAATAATTATGTATAGTCTTATTCGAGTTTCGCAGTTATACAAGTTTAGAGACTTTCATTGTATCCAAACGCTCATTTTAAATTTATTGACAAAAATATTTTTAATTTTTAATCGGCAACGAAAAATGATTTTGAATATAGCAATTTTTTCAAATTTGTCTATTAAATGGATCATTCAGCTTATGGAGGTGAAATAAAAAGAAAAAAAAACATGTTTTCAAGTGATTTTGATAAAAGAATATTAATGCGAAATGTCGTGGACCTTACGAGTGCCAAGTGAAAATTAGATTTATAACCTCGCTTGGTCATAACTCGTAACTCTGTCGTTCTGAGTACGTGACAGGATTAAATTTACCCCAAACACACTTG